TTGTATTGCTATTACGATTTCTCGTGAACATAAGCTTACTAGCGACTCACCCTTACTTCTCTCGAGTATATCTCTAGGTTTATAACACAAATCTATGCTTATTTCAGGTCACAGTCAGTCTGTGAAATAAATTTAACTCAAATCTGTCCAGTACTTTTAGCGTGAAGGAGTAACAAACATACACAAGCACTCACATACAAAATTTCGCATTAATAATTTATTATTATTAGATTCTTTCTTTGATTATACAAAATAAAACTAAGTAAAGTTCTTTTTTAACCACCGACGCGAAAAGAGGGGTGTTAAAGTTTGACGTCGATGTCTGCCTGTCTGTGTGTGTGTGTCTGTCTGTGGCATCGTAGCTCTCAAACGGATGGACCGATTTCGATGCAATTTTTTCATTTGAAGGCCAGTTTCCTATCTAGTTCTAACTATGTTTGGTTAATATCGGTCCAGCAGCGTAAGAGTATCAGCTCTTTTCCAAAATGATGTAAGACATTTTGGCGTATGATTACTCGATTAAGTGTTTCACGCGTGCCAGTGTAATCGTTAAATGACAATTAATTTGCGTAGGGGTTTTTTGTAATTTTTAATATTGACTTAGAAATTCAAAGAGATACAAATTTTTAAATAAAATTATTTCAATTAAAATATACTTAGGTTACGTGATCGATGGCTTTGGACTTTTATAGAACAATAAATAATAAATCGTAATAACAACACTTATGAATGAAAGTGTGGGTGCATTTATTACTTTTTTAATGCTGTAATGCCTCAATGGAGTCGAGTTAATTAAAAATTGAGGTAGTTTGTATCTTAAATTAGCCAAGCTACTTTTTATCCCGAAAAAAAATAACAATTTTATATAGATATAGTGAATAGTGTATTCATCCCTTTTTAACGTCCCACTGCTGGGCACGGGCCTCCCTTCAATATCAAGAGGATCAGCCTATCAGGCCATAGTCCACCACGCTGGTCAAACACGGGTTAGTGGACTTCACATATCTTTCGTGCCAGGTTGTCTCAGACATGCAGATATTTTCACGATATTTTAGCACATGAAAATATCAGAGGTGCGAGGCCCGGGATTTGAACCCGCTTCACTCAGTTTCTCAAGCGATCGCTTTACCACTTATCTACAGAGAATACCTAATATTTAACTGATAATATCAAAGTATAATAACTCATAGTTATACACCAATCAATATAAAACTATTTCAGTTAACTGCTTTACAACCGATCGATGTGCTCAGATCTCGTAAGCTGTTCTAATTTTACGTACAAAATAGAAATTGCGATGTACCGGATTTGTTACTTTTCAGAGAACAGATATGGCAGACGGCTATCTAATATGTGGAGTTATTACGTGTTATAGCGATTGCAATCACTTTGATTTTATTTTTTTATGGTTTCCATCTACGTAGGCACATAATAATTATATTATCTTTATCTAATTAATATTATATAACTTAACACCACGTTATTAACTTAACTTAACATTACCTACTTTGGAGTTCAAGTATCTTTCAAAAGGGCCTCCTTTATTTAATATCCTTTTCAAAAAAATAAAAATAAATCTAATAATAATCGGTGATTATTTTTTATACGAATACTTAAAAAATTAATTCGTCTTCATATTCTTAAGTTAGAATTAAAAATAATAGAAATCGATCTTATTTGCACACGTAATAGGTGTTAGTGATCAATTATTTAGCGAAAGGTAACTTTTGGACGCTCCAAGTTGGTCCGATTTAAAGTTGTGACGTCATTTAGCTATTTATGTATACTTCATAGACTTTAGTACTTACGTGTGTTTATTCTTGAAATAGATTTAAAACTGGAACTTGGATAATTTTGGCTGGAACTTGGATAATTAAAGTATAAAGGCAGGAAAATTGAAGAATATATTGTTCTGAAAATAAATAGTAAGAGATTACTATATAAAAGTGATTATGTAGTAAGTTATAAGAGTTTCAATCGTTATTTACATATAATGTTAATAATATTATAGACTAGCGACTCATCCTCGTTTCGCTCGGGTTCGTCCCTAGGTAAGTTTTAATTTTTTTGAGCAGAACCCTAATTCTTTTTCTAAAATAAAAGTTGCCTATGTTACTCCCTATAACATCAGCTATCTTCTCATGAAAGTACCGTCAAAACCAGTCCAGCCATTTCAGAGAATATCCGGAACAAACAGACAGGCAGACAAAAATTAAAAAAAATGTGTTTTTCTTATACGTACCGTATATAATTTCATATGCTAAATGCATAAATATATAATTTCATATGCTAAATGCGTAAAACGCTGTTATATTGACATTACAAACAGACACTTCAATTTTATTTATCTGTATAGATAAACTCTCTAGTTAACATCTAGTTTTAATAACCTGTACGGTGTACCTACAAAAAAATAGGGATTTTCTTAATATGAGGCATTAAATTTTAATTACGAATAGGTATTACAATTTTTTACATAAAGAAGATTATACTTTCTTAGATTTACGCGAATATTTCACATTTAAATTATAACTATTTTTTCGGATTATTTCGCAGATTTATTTTGATTTTTGGTTCCCGATGTTTCGAATGCAATAAAGGTACCTTTGGTGCCATTTTTGGATTTTTGAAATCATTTTGTAAAATTGTGGGTTGGCGCCGTCTGTAACAAGTATACATAGGTACAACGACTTTGAGACGACTAAAACTTTAGTCTCTCTCGTGACCATGATTGCTGAAAAGCATTCGAAACGCTGGAGACGAAAAATCACAATAAATCCACTAAATAATCCGAAAAAATATTTTTATTGAAAATAAGGAGGATTTGTTATATTCAAAATATACATAATATTTTTTAATTAAAACAAAAATATCCTGCAAAACTACATAAAGAATATCTTTGTCTTTTTACATTGGGTAAGTAAAAATTTTAATGATTTTTCAATAATTATCCATGATAAGAATAAAATAAAAATCTCGAGAACCCATTTTATCTACGTTTAAGTTATTTTCTCCAAAAGCAAAAAAAAAACTTGAATAACATATTAATTCACTCATGCAAGAATTCCAAGCATTACAATTAGTTATAGAGTATAAAAAATTGTAACTAAGCCGAATCTGTACATTAAATATTTTTTGGAAAATCTTATTGAAATAGACATTATTATCGATACAGAGGCTGAATCTATGGTTTTTAGAATTTTTGTCTGTCTGTCTGTTACCGCATCACGGAAAAACCACTGGAGGGATTTTGATGAAATTTGGTATAGAGATAGTGGGTTATCCGGGTCAACATACCTATAGGATACTTTTTACCGCGGGAAAATGTCTCATTTCTGAGAAAAATACAAAAACTGCAATGTAAGAGTATACTACTATGTAAAACCTAAGAATTTCGTTTTCGGTCATCTGAACGCGGGCGAAGCCGAGGGCATTGCTAGTGTTTTATAAAAAAATACAGAGATTAGTTATAGGTACACTATAATTATTATTAATATTATTATTCAATTAAATTTACTCAATGCCTTACTTTTTGATATTGTACCTTAGACCATACGGTCCTCTTGCTCGTCAGTGCATGAAACTGTATTACTATTATACATGTGAAAGTTTGTGAGTATATATGGATGTTTGTTACTCTTTCACGCCATAAAGACTGAACGGATCTGGATGAAATTTGGCACAGAGATAGATTATAGTCTGGAATAACACATAGGCTACTTTTTATTCCGGAAAAATGTATGGTTCCCGTGGGATAGGTTTGTTTTTGTTTTCCTAGATGTGAACCCGAGCGAAGCGACCCTCGCTCCGCTAGTCTTATATAAAATTCAAGACTCTCAAGAGTGTTTAGATGTTTTCTAGGTAATCCTAACATAAAATCTATGTAGCGATTTTAGATTACTATATTAGAATAGTTTTTATAGAGGTTAAACTAAAAGGAAAATTATAAAAGTTATATATAATATCTTCATTATCCAATTGTCGTAGAATAGAAATGTAAAAAATATATCGGAATGACATATGTATTATGATTTTAGGAACAAAGTTTCAATTTGTTATTTCCACTTTCTGAACGATTGTGAAATGTAATTTTGTGTCCTTAATAGGTCTCTTTAATCTAGCCTTTGCACACTATACTTTCTATCTTCACCCAGTCTTAAATGACGTACAATAAGATCATGACATAACGTCACCGCTTTATATGAATTGTTTTAATTCTTCTTTTTTGTCTCAGCACTTAAGTTACTACCAAGCTCTATATAATATTGACTTTTCAATTTATATCATTTTATATATTTTTGGTTAGTTTTATTTTACATATTTTTGGTTAGTAGGTAGTTGGTAAGTGTTTGAAAATAAGTTTTTTGCTATAGGTACCTATAGAAATTTTAAAAATACTGTAGTGAATTCTAAGCTTGTTCAAATAAACTTTGGCTGAGTTAGATCTCGATTTGCTTAGAATGAGTAAAATTTTGTAAGACATCTCTACCTTGTTCGTAGGCGTGAGTTTTATATATTTTTTTCATGTGGAAAACGAAATTTTTGTGTATTTTATATGACCACAATATAACTATTTTAAATAATCCTTACAAAGTTAAAGATATGAAGTTATTCATTATATCTATACCAATATGATGACTCTTCTGATGACTCTTCTGTTTTTAAAAAAAATGTTCTTTTATAAAAGCAAAATAAATACTTCCAAATTTGATATTTGAGTAGCTCTGAAAAGATACGTAGCATATTAAATAGTTGTATATTTTCTTTCTAACTTCAAACGCATAAATGCTATCCATCGTAGAATGTATTCGAATCGAGTAGTTTGGAGTGGAAATGGCCCACTAAGGTGATGCGCCCGAATCGCCGGCTCGCCCCGATAATGCATTGTCCAGTTACGCGAGCACCCCCGAAAATATAGCGAAAAAACCTCACCACCCCCCGCGTTAATGTCCCCCACCGCGCACTAAGCTTCTTTTTTTAATACATAACTTTTTTTCAAGATGCATTTTTACATGTTTCGGCCTAAAACTTTACACACCCAGAAGCGAAGCAACAAAACCGGTAACGCCTATCGCCGCTCGGATTTCTCGCTCACGCGCCTTCTGTACCTCGACCGGACGATAGTGGCGCGAGCGAAATAGCACGACCGGGGCCGATGTTGCGTCTTAAACCAAGATTAAGGCTCTATTCCGAATATAAATTCTTGCTGAAACGCATCGTACATCAATATTTGCTTTCGAGACCTAATTCGGACTCGGACACAGAGTGTGTGTGTCGCATACATTAATTACTTATTAGTTAAAATCATCAACGTATCGGACCGCAAACGCTATACATCTCACTCTAGCGTCCAGTGCGAAGGCATTCGCGCCACGACAATTGAGTTGAGTTGAATTGAATTGAGTCGGTTAAACTGTAAAAATGGTGCGGGCGGGCAGAGCCGCGCGAGAGCGAGACGAACGGAAGGCGTGTTGGCCGAGACCGCTGCCTTCTTCTCGACTTACGCCGACACGCGACTAGTGAACGTCAGTGTTCTGACGTGGACGGCCGTATTCGCGTTAGCCCGGTCCGTTTGACAGATAAAAAAAAATATTTCGCGCGTCTTTTGACAGATACATGCAAACTTTTTGAGTGAGTTCGGATATTTAAGAGATTTTTTTAGTGTGGATTATTAGTTTCTGAATACGGAGATTTATTTGCAGTGTAATTATCGGCTTGGAGTGGCCGTTGAAACGCTATAAAGTGATGAATCAGCGAACGCCGGCTAATTAACAACGTCACTGTTACGAAAACAAATCTAAGTACCCCTGCGTCTTATTAATTGAACATTGTAAGTATAAGAAAGTAATATAATATACCATCAGTTATTCATTAGTTTTTTATAGTTATTAATAGATATATTAATTATTACGAAGTTATAATTTTTGTTTATTTATTAATTTGTTTTAAATAGTTTTTTAATGTTTTTATTTTATTTATATAGTTGTTAGTCAAAGAATATTTAACAATTATAATACCTATTAATATTACAAAGTTAACTTACATCACAAAAAAAAACAAAAAACTTTAGAACAAAAATAAAATAACAATTAATTAAAACACGAAACAAACTGTGCGTAAACAATAAAATTAATTTTATTTTATTAGTTTCTTACTGCAAACTCGACACTTGAAACAATATTTACATCCTTATAAAAAAGTTTTTACTCATTTCGGTCTCAAAAAAGAATAAAAGATAATTTGGCGGCGTAAAAAAGGAAAGGCGATATTTTTCATGATTCGGAAAAGTTTCTGGGCGGGGCGACGCGGCAACAGCTGATTGGTTCGGTCATGTGTTCAGTTTTTCTGTAGGTATTTTTTGCTTGTTTTTGTTTTCACGTGAAATCTACGTAGTGCAAATTTTAATATAGCTCGTATATAAGCGCTATGTACTGATCGTTGTGCTATGGATGTTGAGTGTTAAGAATTCTGATTCATGCGTAATCCAGTAAATTGATTTAATTCCAAAATTAAAAATTAATTTTTACATTTTTATATTTTTTTCGTTATAATTACACAGTATCTATATATTTTGTTTTAATGATACTATTTTTCCAATGAAAATATTTAGGAAATAATTTTCAAATAGTTGATATTTTAATTACTATTAATAACATAAGAGTAGGTAATAAAAGTTGAAATAAAAAAATCAAAAAGACATATACATATATATTTAAAAACTAAAATGAGCATTTTTCATTAGCATTTTTATTAATTAGAATTCTAAATTAATACTTAATAAAAAAAAATATTATTAATAAATAAAATAACTCTATTATAGGTACCATAGGTACCTACTAAAGGTATCCATAACTCGCTACCTACTACATATACCACCTATGTGTAGGTATGACATCTATATAAAAAATATGACTTATATTTTTATTACTAATTTTTTATGTGGATAAACTTTGTGTTGTATGAACTTTAATAAAAAAAAATAAGTTGATATTAAAAAAATATATAAAATTATCTTTTTTACTTTTTTTTTCATAAGTAGCTATAAAATATTTATCAAACACATTTCGAAAATATCTATCAGACAGAAAGATTTTCCGGCAAATTCCCCACTGAATAGCTATGCTAATGCTCTGAGCAAAAAGGGCACCCTCGACATCAGATGAAGCGGTCAGATTAAATAACACCTCATCTCAATTTAACGTTTGGGAGTGAATGAGTTACATCAACAACTGTACGGTAAAATATCCTATAAAAATATTCTCGAAGTTGTTACTAACGTTTTTTTTTATATTTTGAAAAATTTATCAGTTTTATTAAAACGTATCTTTAACACATAAAAAAATATGTAAATCATTTCATAACCTAATTATTTCTATTACTATAGCATTAGTATTTTTTTTACTAAGGAATAATTGATATTTTAACAAAAAATAAAATTTATATTCATATTAGATGTATATTTATTTAATATGTAATGTAATTAAACGTATGTTTATTTAATACGTGGTGTAACATACAAATTTTTGATTTAATTTTTAATAGATATACATAATAGATAGAACAGATAAAATAGATTTTTTATATACCTATTTATACTCGTAATTATTTTATTTAACCACAGACCAGTTGCAAAAAAATTAATAAATATTTATATATTAATTAAATATGTAAAAAAGTAAAAAAGGGAAAAATAAGAACAATAAAAAAATTAAGATTTTCAAAAGAAGGAATTGAATGATTTTCTACAAATTCTATTCTGAACACCTATACAAAACAGTTTTTCAAGTTAGTTTCCTACAATAAAAAATAAATTAATTTTTTTTTATAATATATAGAATATATAATATACGAATATAAAATATGCTTGTAAATATCTTAACTAATAAAATAAATTTAGAAATTATACCCACCAATTTCAAAAGACATGGCTTTTATTTTAACGGCTTGAAATTTTAAAATAATAACTTTTGGGAGGCTAGTTTGTATTAGAATCTTAATAAAAACAACTATGCAAGGGTAGTGTCAAATACATTTTTTTAATGGAAATGTGGAATGAAAGAATGCGAAAAGCTTTACGGTAGGGTCAATCGGCATGCTGGTGAAGCAAAAAATGCCTCCCTATTAGAAGACGCGTTTAAGCGTGGTGTCATAATTGATTAATGCAATTGGAATAAAGAGACGTTTAAAAGCTTTTTAATGACTAGCGTTGCCCGCGGCTCCGTCCGTGTTCACGTGACCAAAACGCATATTCTTAGGTTTTACATATTAGTATACACTTACAATGCAGTTTTTGTATTTTTTCTCAGAAATGAGATATTTTTCCGCGGTAAAAAGTACCCTATATGTTGACTCGGATAACCAGCTATCGTTATACCAAATTTCATCAAAATCTGTCCAGTGGTTTTCTCGTGATGCGGTAACAGACAGACAGACAGACAGACAAAAATTCTAAAAATTAAAATTTCGGACTCTGTATCGATAATAATGTCTATTTCAATTAGATTTTCCAAAAAATATTCAATGTACAGATTCGACTTAGTTACAATTTTATTATATGTTTAGATATACTAATTTTTGTTATTAATAAATACTTATTAGTATCTAGACTTCTCTTTTTTTTTTCAATAAATGTTTGATCGTAAAACTTAATCTTTTTCTCGAATAAATTAGCTAGTGACAATAGTTCAGAAAATCTAAAAATATGCAGATATACTTAGGTTTATACCAAATTGCATTTTTGGTAAATATTTTTATTTTTTAAAATAAAAACAGTCTGCTTAGTTCACTTGATATTGACCATTAAAATTAAATTTCTTCATTCATTCAATTCTATTCTTCATTAATAAAAAAAAATGTAGACAGCCAGAAAATTTGAAACTCAATCATGTTAAAATTAAACAATTTAGAATGAATTTTATTTATAACCTTTATTTCATCACTGAAAAAATTATAATTAAAATTGGTTTAAAAATTGTAAGCCATTTAAATATTTCTTCATAATTCCATATAGAGAAAGATACTTCTTTGTCTCTACAACGTATCATCCATGAATTGAAATGAAACTTTATTCAAATAGACTTATTTCAAGCACTTTTGAATCGTCAATATAATATAAAGAACGTCAGTGTAATCAGTCCATAAGCAATCTACCACCGGCTCAGAAAGCAGCTCTGCTGAGAGGAGCCGGTGAGAAACTCATATGAAATAGAAGCTACTTTTAAATATGTAGATGTGATATGAGTTATGATCTATTTCTATCTGATCACATCATTATTCTTCTAAATTCTTCGTTCATTGCACTTAATTAATATAACACACATGACTCAGTCTCTATATTGTTCTGAATCACTAATTGTACCACGCCATTATATTACTAACGGAGATTGAACTAACATTATTTAAATTATCCATTCAAATTTATTAATAATAAAAAATCTGTCTGTTTTAATTAATATACTCATAAATGTATGTTACATGTTCTTCCTGACACAGCGTTTAAGCAAATAGAGTAGCTTCTATCATCTATCAAATTAATATTAAAAAAAAGTCATATTAAGACATGTAGGCTGTTACACTATATTTCATTACAAATATTTTTTAACATTGTCTAAGACTTATTTTAGATATATTTTTCTTTCAGTTATTCATAACAAAGTGTAAATTATAGTATATTTATTTTCTCTATGTAGGTACTTACAGTAATATTAAAAATAATTAAAAATAAATTTCCGCACTTGGCCAGCGTGGTGGACTATGTCCTGATCCTCCTCGTATTGAAGGGAGGCCCGTGCCCAGCAGTGGGACGTTAAAAAAAAGGGCTGAATATATACATACATACATATTTATGTAAATTGAAATTTGAAAATACACAATATTTTTCATAATACTTACTAACGTGGTTGTCTTGAGCTTTTATCTGCCTAAACGAAATAACCGAGAATAAATTATAGGTACTATTTTATTAGATAGCATGTCATAGAAACTAACCCTTATGCATCTACTGTAGGGTGCTGGGATCGTTGAAACAATTCACAGCAATCGTGTACAGTGCCGTACATAAAATATTGAATTTTTTGCCAGAAACCATATTTTTAAACGGTTTTATTAGAATTTCATTGCCTCTAGACATTTATATAAATATTAATTCTCTTAGTCATTGATACATATCGTGATTATTGAAGAAGCACTTGATAACTAAATGAAAATATTTTTTGGTGCTTTATAGATCTTAGGTATAATTGTGGACAATAATAAGTTATTGTGGTAGGATCCTTTAAAAACTTTTTAATAAAATTACTTACTCTCTGTTTGAATAATTTATGATAATTAAAATTATTTAAAGTTAGTATTACGTTGGTCATTATTAATTCAATTAAAACAGTTACAACGTTTGCCGAGTTCATTGAAAAAGTATAGCTTGCTTAGCTGAAGGCTTAACTTATGATACTTTTCATAATCAGACCCTTCTGAACACTCTATTAAAGCCGCAGAAAAGCTCCGGGCATTTTCTAAAACACATTTATAAGAGTACCTTTATTTTTTTTTAAATAAAGAAATTAGCAGTAGAAACATCTTACCATTTTACGACAAACTGAATACCGTCTCTGACATCAAGTTTTATAACCGTTCGAACAATTACGTCTAATCAGTCTGATCTCATCTCTTGCTCCCTCCCATTTTTCTGGCACAATATCGAAAGAGACAACCATATCGACTCCGCTACGCCCATCAATGTCTAATTGCTTTTATTATTTTAAGGCATCGTAATCATTATTGCCGCAATAAAAATTGTAATTACTTCTCATTAGTTCAATTAAGAATTTTCTAGACACGGTTTAGTTGATATGTTGATTGCAATAGTGATGTATTGTTAAGAAAGCCGCGTTTTATTACATGTACAAGGGAATGGTCGAGTGAAATCTAATATTATCAGTAAATTGTATGTTTTAGATACGGATCATATCAATCAAAATTAATGATCAGTATATAATATGGAACTAATCGGTGTTTAAAATTTTTTAATATTCATAATTTACCAATCTTTTGGAACGATTATTATTAATAGATACCCTCGCTATAATGATGTCACGCATGGAACTAGCCAAATTAAATTAACTTTATACCCACCACTATAATGGTATGTTTTTATAAAATTTTATTTATAACCTATATGAAATTTTCTAAGAAAGTATTATGTGAACCTATATGAAATTAATTTTAATACTAAAATAAAATTCTCTAAACTCTATCAAAACAATAATTATATTGCAGTAAAATATTTAATATCACACACACAGGACTTGGTCTTTACAAATGTTTAATATAATCTATATATAAGTTTAAAACTTAACTTATAATGAAAACATGTAAGAATTTTCACAAACTAAATCAAACTTAGTACGAGCGAGTCGGAAAAACTTGAAGCGACTTGAAAAGTTCCACGCACGTGGGTAACACGTGGTTAGCGAAAAACGCGCAGGCCCGCGCCCGCCCCCGCGCATTACCACTTTGAATTTCGAACATGAACTACGAGATAAATGAACTCAAATAAGGTTTTATATTTCTGTTTTGTTTTTATAGTTTCGTTTTTTTTTAATTTGGATGTTACTTAATGTGCTACGGCTGCAGTCGATTGAGACAATTTTTTTTACACTTAAACATTATAAATAAAAATAATTAGAAATTATAAAATAAATAATCATAAAAGAACTTGAAATAAATATGTATGTAAGATTATATATTTTTAAGTTTATAAAATTAGATTAATATTTAAAATAAAATAATAATAATAATAAATAATTGTTTCTAAGTTCGTAAAATATCTATATCTATTCTTAAAGTTAATTAAACAAAAATCTAAATGAATCAAAAAAATATCTTTATAAAATTAACACAAATATTATCTATTTATTTGCTGATTAGGCATATGATTTACCCATATATTATTTCATTAAGATTTATTTAAAATAAACCAATTTTTTGTATAATTTTAATTAAGTAAATCATTATCATTAGTATGTAAATGTTTTTAAAATATAAGAGTACCAAACCTAAGGTAAAATTAATAAAATGTATAATTTAAATATTATCAATCTCACAAAAACTTTATTTTGGATAGGTATATCCTTCATTGACCTCCAATTAATTTTTATTTCAAAATTAAGCTAATCTTAAATTATATTCGCTCATAAAGCATACCATATTTTTATTATAAATTATAAAATATAATAATTAAAAATTGTTAGAAGTTAACTATAAATATTATTGATTTTATATTAATCAATACGTATTTATATTGGATTTTTTATCAAACTCACGATTCAAATAGATTAAAGATATTTTTTTCTACAAATTCATACTTTAAATTTTAAATATTTTCTTTTAACAATTATAAATTGTAGATATGCTTAATTAAAAATAATAATTAATTTATTATTAGTGGTTACTTTAATTAGTGTTCCCTACTTATTGTTAGTAAAAAGTTTCAAATAATAATAGTATCTGCACATTAATATTTAGAAGTAATATAACTAAATCCATTTTAATTTATTAAATATATAACTTTTTTTTTTTTTACATAAACTTTTAAAATAGTGAGATTCACTTTTAATCAGCTAATATTTTTTATCTGCGACAGTCTCGGCGCTAGTTCCGGCACGGCGGCAAGCTGTTTTACCCCTACCTGAAAACGTCCTCCCTACAAAGGGACTTTCTATTTGCCAGTGGCTCCGGTAAGTCGCTTCATTATGATTTAAACAAATTGTCACTTCTACTTCAAACTAAATTCAATTTAAAAAAATAACAAAGTGTCCATTAAAATAAAAGGATCTTGTCAAGAAACGTGTGTAACAGATTTTTTAAATGTTTTAGTAGTCATATTAATAATCTAATTATAATGCTGTTATAATTTAAAAAGCCTAAGAAAGCACGCTTTTCACCATTTGTAAGTAAATGTATGGAAATTAAATTCAAACAGTTCGAATTCAAATGTTTTACTAATAGCCTTAGTAGTACTATTTACTATCCAACAGCTGCACTGGCTTCAATATTAGATCGATCGTTTTTATTGAATTTTCATACGAATTTCACATACCTTATGTACTTAAGACAGTATTAGAATAAGCAACTATCAATATTTGGTAGAAGCTAATAAAAGCATGTTAATAGTTAATTTTTATTATACGGTATGTTTTTAAAAACGTATTTCTGTACGTTATAAAAAATGATAAAATGTCATATTCACTTAATCAAACCTAAAAATAATGTTGCCACTTTATTTAATCAACCAACCAATTATTTAATCTACGATGATTAAAATATTCTTGTAAATCTATAAGCTTTGTACATAATACTAAATATAAGGCAACGCCGTGTATCTTAAGAATTATTTATTTTTATTGCTGACCGTAGCCACAACACATGTTAACAGTGATTATAACGTCAATGCATAAATTAACCAGCTATAATGATAGGCCCACATCTGTGAAATATTTCCACTTAATCTCTAGTTATCGTTCCGATAATAGTTAAGGGCTTTAAGATCGATTAAATTTGATGTTAGTTTATTTATACGTAAGAATATGCATGAGTAATATACCCAGAAATATGTTTTTAAACAATTAGGTTCTAGATAGACTCATTCAAGGGATCAGAAGTGTGCTTAGAAAGGTGAATTGTTTTGTAAGTCTACTGAAGACAACTATTGGTTTTATTCTTAAACGCTCTATCTAATATTTATTTTAATTAATCATAATTTATTTTAATCTTAAAATTTAAGCTAAAGAATGGTTAAACATTTTCGTTTTTAAATAAATATTCTTACACGAAACTAACAGCTCAACCTATCTTGACTTCATAATAGATTCAATATAATATCAATATGAAATTGGCTACTGAAGTCTTATTACATACACTGTATCTAACTAATGGTAAATGTAGACAGTATATTCAATTATAAGGCCTAGCAAATCCATCTAATCACATGTCAACCAATTATTACCAAATCGCAATTTCAAAGTTTCGTTTAGGCTTTAATTTATACTTACTCCATTCTCATTTCTCAAATATTAGTAATACTGTAAAAAAGAATAGTGTATAAAATATTGTCAAACTTATTAATAATTTAATATACCAGTCTTTCTTTATTATGTTTCCAGCACATTATCCGCATTTATATATTTCTTTGTTTGTTTAAGCGCGCTATTCTCTAAAATAACCTGGATGAATGAAAAAAAATATGTTTTATTAAAAGGTTATTATGTAATTAGAATCACCATAAAAAACCGAGTAATTATACATAAATTAAGTGCGCGGGCGCAACCGCATGCATAGGCTAATAACATATTTTAGGTATATAAGCAACAGCTAGCCTAAATTCATAGAACTCCAATAACTAAATCAAGATACTAAAAGCAGACATATATATAATATTATAGGCTTCCTAAGAAACCGTCTCATGTATAATCAACGCCCATTTCACTAACACACGGATCCCTGAGTGATGTGAGCTCGTATTCCAGTTATTAAGAAAGTTTTGTTTATAAAGATTAGATTAACAGCGAGTTATCGAGACCGTGTACGTTTAGATCGCCTCTCAGAACCGCTCATAAATCCAACCCTAACGCTCGCTCTGTTTAGTTTGGAAGCACCCATCCCAGTAATTATACGATAATTCATACTTTAATAAATAATAATAAATTCTTCCCGTACCGTCGCATTATCCACTATTACACGATGTAATTATAGCCAATAAATTACCAAATAATACATCAATCAGACGTGTTATAATTTTTTGTGTTTTTTTTTATTTTTTTTACCGGGCGGCGGGCAATTTTATTAAAATTATAGCGGTCAAATTGGGGTAGCTGGAGGCTAAGTCCGGGCTTAATTATATAGGTAATGTTTAATAATATATTCTTATAATAAGCTACCTGATACTCTCGGTGGATATAAATCAAATACTCCATTAAAATTCGAATCGCTTTCCAACCCTTCATTGGTATACTGTTATTAGTCTGTAGGATTGCTCGCGAATCCGAGCCTACTTTTCGATGAAAACAGCATTATCGCGGTGACGTTGATGAATGGGATCGATTTAGCGCGTGCATAATTATATTTTTTGGGCTCAGCTTAACTTTAATCCGAGGTTTTTTAATTAATTTGCAAATTAGATGCCGTAATTTTGGTAAATTATGGTAAGTGTGTTGTCACTTTTTTGTTTTTAAAGTTTGGTATCTTTTAGATAACAAAGGTTTTGCTTAAAACAGATATCTTAACGTTGATTCTAATTAATATATTTTAAAATATCGTTATTATTAAATTATTTTTGTAAACGTTTTGAAGTTCTTTAGAAAAAGATCTGCTAAATCTTAATAGTAATGTAATAAAGAAGAAAGTAGAATAGTGTACGTATATTTACAATTTTTGCTTACTCGTTTTCACGCGCCGGTGTTGAGCGTCGCCTCGAGCAGTACAGTCTGCTAAAAAATAGAATTTTATTAATATAATATTAGAATATTTATTGCATATAGGTATGTACTTTTTATCAAATGTTTTTTTTTAAATAATTTTATAAATAAACTATTAAAAATAAATTAAAATCGCATATAAAAGGTATGATAATATAACTTTGACACGAAAGTTAGTGCGTCAAGTTATAATGACTTAAAAATTATTGTCAATTTTCATTTCACACCAAAATTACTCTATAATACAAAAGTGAATCGCAAAAAAATTATATAAAATTAATACAGTATAATATCAATTTAAAAATAATTTCCCAAGAAACTTTTAATGAGTCAATATATCAACCCAGATACCGTTCACTAATATACACCATGCAATTACCACGGTCGAATAAAATAGTGCATCAGTTTTCGCTAATTCGTTTCCACGCGGCTGTTGAACATCGCCTCGAGCGGTACGATCTGCTTAAAAACATGGTAGTGAGTAATAAATTGTATCATTGAATTTAAATGTCGGTCTCACTTTGAGTTTTAACTAAAAGTTAAATGAATTAGGTAACTTTATAAAATAACTCTTCAAATATCGTACTTTCTCTTTCTTAAAGTTAAATAATTTCACCAATTTTTGTACTAGTAGCAGAAAAATCGTTATAAACAGAATTATTTTCTGTTTTATTATATTATATCGATTGCTAAAAAACTAATTATTGTTATTCAAGTGCCTAAAAATTGAAGTATTTTTTTTTAATTTTAACTTTTTTGCTAACGTTACATCTGAAGCGACCTTGGTTGTAATAGAGTATTTTGTATTTTCAATTAACTAAAGTGCATTTGCTTTTAAATGTACTGGTATTTTTTTTATTTTTCAACGCTTATACTGTCAACCTAATACTTATGATTATGAGATACTCGTACATAATAATTATTATGTTAATAAAGCCCTTCCTCGTTTGAAGGATAAGTATAAAGCTGTAACGCATTTGTCAGAGTTTATTTCATTTTAGTAAATATCTTTTTTTTAACCTTTATTTATTAAAAAAAAACTTGTATATTTTTTTGTAAATAACTTACTTCATTCCCAAAATATTATATTAATTACAGTTAGGCTGAATAAAATGCACCCTTCGCCTTGACCGGTGTTTTATTGCTATAAAAAAAACGGTAGAGTTCTTTCAAAATTGTTAAGAATATGAATGCGAATGAGAATGATTCCCAGTGAATAGAATAAAAATCCCCCATTGTAATTTTAATTTAGTACTTTTGTAATATTACAATTAGCTAACTACGCGGAAGGAGGCACTCGGTTTAATAAATTGATTAAATTTTAACTATCAGCGGGCCAGATTTAGACAATCATTACAAGAGGTCATTTCCTTTTATTTATATTATATAATATACTAGCTAAAGTTAACGACTTCATCTAAATAATTGATGAATATCAAAGGCAAATATTTAACACAAGTGACTTACCCACGCTTCGCTCGGGCGCGTCCATAGATACGTACACATAGCGTTATTACAATTTAATAAGAGGAATATTTCTGTAATACATTGTTTTCATATAACTTACGTATATACGTCCATAGTTTACGCGGCGCACGCCAATAAAGTTCCTAGCCGGCACGATTTTTTCCGACGTCTTTAACAATCATCGTCATATTTCAGCTAATTTACACAAAACCTTCATCTATTGGTGAAAACCGAAGGAAAGTCGGTAGTTTTTGAGTTTATCGCGTTCAAACAGACAGACAGACAGACGCGGCGGGACACTATTTTATAATATGCTATATTATAAAATGGAGTGTTAACATCTAGTATCAAAATTCATACAAATTTTTATGAGTTTAAATGTTACCAGAAATACATATATTTTATTAAGTACTCGTAGTTATAATTATAATTTACGAGTATGGTCAAACTATGAAAATTAATAAGTTTTTTTAATATAAAACTAATTTAATCATGTTAATTAATTACATAAATACAAAAAAATATATAAATGTAAATTAACAAGGTTAGTTTACATGAACATTAATTTTATTAATTTTCGTATAATATATTATAGATGTGTATAATGTTGACCAACGTAAATAGCCCCACTGATAAAGTCGTCGCTTAAACTCAATATACGTAGAAATATATAACAGTATACAATATAATCAGTGTATGGAAAATTATTTAATATAGATAAAATAGCCATTTTTAATTTCAAACCATACATCTTTTTGATTTTGACATCCTTCATAAAAATCTTTTAATATGTAATT